GGGGGGGCGTGGAGGGGGCTGCTACCTGCACGTAGTGAGTGGGTGGAGGCCAAGCATGCTGCTGCTGAGCATCCTGGAGCACACAAGACAACCCCCCACAGCAAAGAATGACCCAACCCCAAATGACAAAGGTGCCGAAGGTGGGACGTGCTGGTCACATCACCAGGAAGGCTCCCCAAGATGTTAAGGGAAGTGAAACACACAAGACCTGATGAGCAGGGACCCTCCCCTCCCAGCTCAGCACCCCAAGGAACCTCACGGCTCCTCCAGGGTGGAGCACTCACCCGATCACCTCAGGGGCCAGCTCCCGCCGGTTCCGGGATTCGGAGCCAGGACCGGGCCGGTGGTAAGGGAAGACCATGGCCTGGCCGTGTTCGTCCAGGCGGAAGCGCAGCGAGGTGCGCAGGATGCCGCTGAGCCGCTGCAGGAAGTCGGCGCTGGAGCGCAGCAGCTCCTCGGGCGGCAGCAGCACGGTGAGCACCAGCACGCCGCGGGCCAGCAGGGCCGGCACCTCGCCCGCACAGTCCAGCCCGTCCCAGCCGCACTCCTCCGTGTTGCAGCCCTGGTCGCAGCGGCCATCGGCAAAGTGGTCCGCACAGTACTTCTCGTACACTGGGCTGAGGGAAGGGAGGAGTGGGGTCAGGGTCATCCAACACCCCTGCACACACACCGGAGAGCACCCAGACTCCGGAGACACAAGGGGGACAGACGGTGAGAGCACAGAGAGCTAGAAGGCATCCGACAGGTGTCAGGCCTTCTGCAAATCCGGCCGTTCCTTCAGGAACTAGTCATAAATAAATATTGACAGATGCCCGCTGTCTGTTGGATGCTGCTGTAGGCCTCCAGGATATGGCTCAGACACAAATCCTTGCCCAGGAAGAGGAGGAATTCCAGTGGGCAGAGACAGACATTAAGAGAGATGAATGAGCAGCTGAATACACAGCATTTCAATTACACATCAGTCAAAGCTAAATATAAACACACACATACACACACGGTGCTACATGGAATTAAATGCTAAGGAGAAAAATAAAGCAGGGGAAGTACTGGGGGAGGCCAGGGAGGAGCTCACTGAGAAGGTCATGTCGTGTGTGGACGGAGGGACAGACAACAGTGGCACATGGGTGGGCAGATGAGCCGCAGAGACAGACAAACAGCACTCAGCCAGGCAGACAGGGTACACGAAGAAACCGAGGGGTCCAATGAGTGGACATCCAACAGACAGTCTAAGGGTGGACTGAACAGGCCAGTGAAGGGGCGGATAGAGGGGCGGGGCCCACGGATGGGCAGGTGTGGCACACGGACGGAGAAGACACAGGACGGAGAAGACGCAGACCGAGGCGAGCGGTCAGACGGACCGGTCAAAGGGACGACAGACAGACGGAGGGGCTCACTTGCAGGCGCGCTCGCGGCCGCCCGCGCGGCAATCGAAGTTGTCATAGAGGCAGGCGGGCGAGCTGCAGGCGGGGTCACAGCGACTGTTGTTGAAGAGGCGCCAGCACTGCAGCGCCGCGCACTGCCGCCAGGGGTCGCCCACGCTCAGCGAGCAGTCGCCGCCGTCCCAGCCGCAGCCCGGGCTGTTGCACTCGCGGTCACAGCGCTTGTCCCCGCTCTTGGCCTCGCAGGCTGCGCTCGGGCACAGAGGCTCCTCCGGGGCCTCGGGCGCCGCCGCG